GATATATATTTTATACAATAAATATTTTTCAATTAGAACATATACATATTATAATATACCTACTCAATAGGGTGAAAATGTAAAGCCAACTTCAATTTACTAAAAGAATAAAACAATTTCCACATATTAGCCTCCGATTTCTATACACTATATAAGCCATTATATGGAAATTATTTTTTTATTATTTTAGTTCCAATAGTATCAAAGACAGGTATATAATCAAAGATCAAAGTGATTCGTAGTCGTCGTTAGGCAACTATTATAGCCTCACGCTCGCACTGACACGCACACAGAGATAACATTGTAGTGTGCGTCAATATTACGCCGATCCAAAGCGATCGCGTAGATTTCGACTTGGACATATTTGAATATGCGCTCTTAATAATGTGTTTTTTTGTAGGTAAACCTCCCTATTTTTTGTCCCGATTTCGAGTAGAGCTAAGTGAGGCCCTTCTCGATCTTGTCGTAAATAAAAAATGTATGAAGAAATTTTTTTGTTTTAATTATTTATAGTTAAATATGCTTTTGACGTACAAGTAAAACAAATAGTACTTAGAATAAAGGCTTTAATTTATAATTATTACACCTATGCAGAAAATTGGGGGAAAACACTTTTCTTACTTTCACATTTCGAAGTAAACCTGTTTTCAAGTTATACATAATCTGATAGCTTATTTAATAAAGTTTCCATTGATATATGATTTTAATATACCTTTTATACAAAATGTCTTGGAAATACTCATTTTAACGAAGTAGTCTGGAAGTACTTCAGGAAGTGCTTGACAGATGCACCATATTGGCCAAAATGGCCGCGACATTCGAGGGGTTATTGATGTATCGAATAATCATAATCACGCCTCTTTCCCGTAGGGGTAGGCAGAGACCACTTCTTTCCACTTGCTACGATCCTTACATACTTGTTTCGCTTCGTCTACTTTCATTATTCCCTTCATACATGCTCTACGGTTTAGGGTACTCTTAACCTGGCCTTTTTTCAAGACGTCCCTAATTTGGTCTAGAAAAGTCCGCCTAGGTCTACCCCTTCCAGCACTTCCATTCACACTCGCCTTATACACTTTTTTCGTCAATCGTTCTTCATTCATTATCTCGGTGTGGCCAAACCATCTCAGCATACCTTTCTCAATTTTTGTCACTACATCTTCTTTCAGACCACAACGTTTCCTTATCTCACTATTTCTTATCCTGTCACTCAGTTTAACTCCTATCATACTTCTTAATGCTCTCATCTCAACTGCATTTATTCTACTTTCATGTTTCTTCTGCCATACCCAACTTTCACTTTCGTACATGAGTGTCGGAACCAACACCCCCTCATGCACAGCCAAACGAGCCTTGTTAGACACTTTCCGACTGCTCATAAAGGAGTGCAAAGCTCCATTCACCATGTTTCCTGCATTCACTCTTCTTTCGATATCACTCTCACACTTTCCATCTCTTGTAAACTTTGACCCCAGATACACAAACTCTTTCACCTGTTTAATTTGTTCATCTTCAATCACGATATTGCAGTCTGTAACTGCCTCATCTTTTTCAAACACCATCACTTTCGTCTTCTTTACATTCATCTTCATTCCCTTTCTAACAAAAGCTCCACTCATAGCAGTTACCATCTCCTGCAACTCCTCGGCCGAAGACGCAAGTAATACTTGGTCATCAGCATAGAGAAAACATTTGACGAGTAACTCATTCATTCTCAACCCACTTTCATTATCTTTTAAATCTGTCAAACAATTGTACATGAACAGATTAAACAGCCACGGTGACGCTACACATCCCTGTCTAACACCTTTTTCGATATTAAACCATTCAGTGTATGCCCCGTTTATCCTTACACAAGCACTAGAATCCCTATAAAGAGATTGCAATGCTCGTATGAGGACACTGCTCACACCGTTCACGGACAGTGCTGACCACAATTCATTCCTCACCACTCTATCATAGGCCTTTTCTAGATCTACGAAGGCGCAGTAGACTTTCTTGTTTTTAGCCAAACACTTGTCGGCTATGCACCGCAAAGAAAAGACCTGATCCGTACATCCCATTCCTTTTCTAAATCCCGCTTGTGCATCCCATATTTTCTCGTCTGTTTCATTCACAACCCTTTCAATCAACACTTTCGCATATAATTTACCGACGACGCTAAGAAGGCTTATACCACGGTAATTTATGCAGTCCTGCCGTGACCCTTTTCCCTTATACAATGGCACGATTACGGCTTTGCACCAGTCTCCCGGCACTTGCCCATTTCGCCAGCACAGATTGAAAAGGCGGTACAGCTGACTAGCCACCAGGCCCTGTCCAGCCCTCAGCATCTCGACGGTAATCCTGTCATACCCTGCAGCCTTACCTAATCTCATACTTTTCAACGCTTTCACTATTTCACCCATGCTTATCTCATTTTCATCAACATTTATATTCGTTTCCGTGGAAGGTGGCAGATGCTGTACCTGCACTTCCTCTCTTTCAAACAAACTTTCAAAATACTCTTTCCATCTCTTTAACACACATTCTTCTCCTTTTATAATGCTCCCATCTTGACTCCTGATTGTACTCAGCTCCGAGGTAAAAGTTTTTCCTTTGGCTGTTTTGATGGTTTTCCAGAAAAACTTAATGTTTGACTGGAAATCTTCAGTGAGCCTCCTATCGAAATCATCTTTTCGTTCTTCTTTCTTTCTAGACACAGTTTCTTTCGCTGCTGTTTTCAATCTTTTATACTTCGTTCTTGCTTCCTTTATCTCGTCATCCGTTGCCTTATGAACTTTTTTGGTTAGCTTTTGTTACTAACCAATCCAACCACGCTTTCTTCTTTTCTTGTACAACCCTTTGTACATCTTTATCCATCCACACGTTATCATTCTTTCTCCCTTTCCTACTTTTAGCTACCCCGCATACCTCAATCGCAACATTTACAACCCCTTTCTTAAATGTCTCCCACAAATCTTCAATCACTCCTATCTCTTCTATCCCTTTAAAACTTTCTTTCAGTTTCTCTACATACTCGTCTTTCTTTTCTTTTTCTTGTAGATTTTCCACTTTTACTCTGTCCAAAACACTCGTAGGCTCGGCCCCTCGGTGTCGCCACCGTTTAAAGAGGCCACGCATTCGGGCTATGACCAGGAAGTGGTCTGTGTCGAGGCCTACACCGAGTATCTAGCACTTTCTTCTTCAGTCTTTTATCCACAATTACAAAATCAATCATACTTCTAGACTCACCCTCATCGCTTGTATACAGATGGATCTTTTTGTGGTCAAACCTTGTGTTGGTCACGCACAGATTCCATTCCAAGCATACTTCAAGCAGGCTTCTCCCATTGTCATTCACTCTCTCGTCCCCAAACATACCCAGAACTCCTTCATACCCATCACGCTTTACTCCAACCCATCCATTAAAGTCCCCTAACATCACGATCCGTTCATTCTCTCCGCATTTATTCAAGACCTCTCTCATACTATCCCAAAATTCCTCTCTCTCTTGTTGTGATTTTAGTGACCCACCCCCACGCAGATCCGTCGGTGCATAGACCCCAAGGATAAACAAGCGGGTGAGTCCGACTTTTAACCTAATCCAGAGAAGTCTTGGGCTTACACATTCATGCTCCATCACACATTCAACCATTCGAGATGAAAGAATCACACCAACTCCCTGACAGCCTCGGCTGGTTTGGGGGACTCCCGACCAGTATGCCGTGTAGGGGCCATGAACCGTGGTGTCACATCCTTTCCTCTTAGTTTCGTTCACGCACAGAATATCAATGCAACGTTCATCCATCATCTGACATACTCCATCTACCTTACCATCTATCCCTCCTCTTACATTCAACGTAGCGAAGCGGCTCTCCGTGGGCCGCTTTTCGCCCCCGCGAGAAACGAGACGTGATGGGTGGCGAACCACATCGCCGCTATTTTGGTTAATTTTTTGATTATCCATTGCGTTCCCACGAATAGCGAAGGAAAGGTTTGTCTCCCCCAGTAGAGCCCCGCATGCCAGGGTAAGGCTAGCCTAATTCTGGGGTCGCCCGGTCCCAGGGCAGTGTGGCACGCTAACGACTAGGCTCGCCCCTAGCCATGCATCCATCCGCGCGGTCGACGTTGAATTGGCGGAGGGTAGGAATAGGAAAACGGGAAGGATAGGTGGTGTGAAAAGGAAGAGTAAGGTAAGTTAGGGTAGGAAATAGGAAATGTAGGATATTACCGTCCATGAGGACAAGGGATAGGACAGTAATAGCTAGGGTAGCCGGGGTCGCATACCCGTATACCATACCACAACTACCGGACAGGTAAATTGGGATGAGTATCCCAATTTATCGAAACACTTAATAACTTCACCTCTTAAAATTGGGCGGTCTGTCACCAGTTGAGTAGTTTTAAAAAATAACGTCCGTTGATAAAATAGTTGATTTTAAGTACTTAACTGTCTGTATAGTCAATAGCGTAAAATTTCCTGCGTTGTTTAATAGATGAAAAACCAAAAACCGTGCTTAGACCGCATTATTTCCATTTGTTGCACTTGCCCCACAGTCACACTTGCCTCGGGTGACCTTACTATGAAATTTATTTATATCTACTAAAATGAAATAACAAAAACTAAAATATATATATTAGAATTTTCAAATCAATTACTAATTTAATTAAATATCTATATAAGTTTTTCGTATTTTACGTTAGCAACAGTTATAACTAATATTGGTCTTTATTTATAAATATCTTATTTACTTTAATAAAACACATCAATCGTATAAAATAGAAATTAACATGTAAAGGAAGGAAAATACCTAACCCTCCATTTTTAAATTTCGTAATCGGATAAAAAGTAGCCTATAAGTAGCCCCAGGTCCCTAACTACCTACACAAAAAATTTCATGGAAATCTGTTCAGTAGTTTTTGTGTGAATCTTTCTTTCTTTTATTATATTCGTTTATCTTTGCCCTCGTGTTAGTATCATGGAGTCATTCAAGGTTCAGACGTATCTGCTTAAATCTTTACGATCTACACGGACGTGGAAGATGAAGATATAATTTAATAATAACAAGCCTGTGATCAGTCCAATAGTGAGCACCACGCATGACACGGGTGACTTGGACTTGAGAGATGTCTTTTTGACGCACGATACCGTAATCGATAAGGTGACAATGCTTCGATCTGGGGTGCATCCACGTTGTCTTGTACTTGGCAGGTAATCTGAACATAGTATTTGTAATTGCAAGATCTAATTGTGCAGAAAGACTAAGCAACAGTTGGCCGCTGCTATTCATTTTACCAACACCATGTCTGCCCAGAACTTCAGGCCAGGCGTCATAATTTAGTCCAAGGATTTGCTCTCTTGGACGGATATGATTTATGCACCGCGTCAATTCTTCGTAGAATTTGGCCTTAATTTCATCAGACTTGTCTAGCGTAGGGGCATAGACACTGATGACATTCAGATAGTTTTCACGTTCCATGTAAAGGCGCAGGATTTGCTCTCTTGGACGGATACGATCTATGCACCGCGTCAATTCTTCGTAGAATTTGGCCTTTATTTCATCAGACTTGTCTAGTGTAGGGGCATAGACACTGATGACATTCAGATAGTTTTCACGTTCCATGTAAAGGCGCAATGTGGTATTGCGTTCCGAGGCGTGTACGGGGTATTCTTGTAGTTGAGCAGCAAGGTAGTTCTTGACAGCAAAGCCTACACCAGACCTTCGCGGCTCTGAGGAAGCGAGTCCTTTCCAAAAGAAAGTATACCCGCCGCCGTGTTCTACCAGCTCTCCTTCATCGGGGAGGTGTGTTTCGCTGAGTGCAGCCACATCAATATTATAGCGGCTTAGTTCCCGAGCTACAATGGCAGTTTTCCGCTCATGGCATACATTTTCTTCGCGGTCAAGAAGTGTGCTCACATTCCACGCGCCAAATGTCATTGATTTTGATAAATAAGAAAAATCAATCATGAAATAATTTTTTTTATTTATAGAAGAGGGGGCAAACGAGCATACGGTTCGCCTGATGTTAAGTGACTACCGCCACCCATGATCAATCGCAAAAGTTTTGCCGCCAAGCCGTAAGTTTTGAGATTTCACTAACGGGGCGCAGCTGATGTTTTATTTCGTTTACATATCTTGTCAAATATAGCCGCGGTTAATACATTTTTCCTATTTTCTAATCATTCTTGACTAGTTCTTTGCTATCGTCCGTATCTGTAGTTCGTCTCCTTGTTGGTCAGAAAGTTCCATTTGTTTAAGAAATTCACTTTTCGACATCTCTAAATCTTCATCACTTATCTGGTCTTTGTGCTTTTTGTTTATAATCCGGATCATCCATATTTCTGCGAAATCTTTTTCGAAAATGTTAGTTTGCTCTAAAAAATGCTAAGTGGCGCTAAGGACTCGATACGAGTCAACTTTAAAAGACTGTAGTCTTAACTTCTTCCAAATAAATGCAGTTTGAATTAGCACATTAGGAATGGATTTTTTTTAATTTGTTTTATAATTACATAAGAAAGTCACAAAAATAGACTTTTATCTGGTACACTTTTATATTTATGTAAAACACGTTTAGATAATATTGTATACATTTTACCAAATAGCTCACGAAAATGGTTTTGCTCCAGTGTGTATTTTCATATGATTTTGCAAATTACTTTTTGTAATACATCTATATTCACAGATATTACACGAAAAAGGTTTTTCTCCGGTGTGTATTTTCATATGTGTTTTCAAATTACTTTTTGTAGTACATCTATATTTACAGATGTTACACGAAAAAGGTTTTTCACCAGTGTGTATTTTTATGTGTTGTTTCAAATCAGTTTTTCTTGCGCATATATATTCACAAATATTACACGAAAGCTTTTTTCCAGTGTGTATTTTCATATGTATTTGCAAAGTACTTTTTGTAAAACATCTATATTCACAGATATTACACGAAAAAGGTTTTACACCGGTGTGTATTTTCATATGTGATTGCAAATGACTTTTTGTAATAGATTTATATTCACAAGTATTACACGAAAAAGGTTTTACACCGGTGTGAATTTTCATATGTGTTTGTAAATAACTTTTTGTATGACATCTAAATTCACAGATATTACAGGAAAAAGGTTTTTCACCGGTGTGTATTTTCATATGCGTTTGCAAATAACTTTTTGTAATAGATTTATATTCACAGATATTACACGAAAAAGGTTTTACACCGGTGTGTATTTTCATATGTCTTTGCAAATTACCTTTTATATTACATCTAAATTCACATATATTACACGAAAAAGGTTTTTCTCCGGTGTGTATTTTCATATGTATTTGCAAAGTACTCTTTGTAATACATCTATATTCACAGATATTACACGAAAAAGGTTTTATACCGGTGTGAATTTTCATATGTATTTGTAAATAACCTTTTGTATTACATCTGAATTCACAGATATTACACGAAAAAGGTTTTTCTCCGGTGTGTATTTTCATATGCCTTTGCAAATCACCTTTTTTAGTAAATTTATATTCACAATTACTACAACAGTACACTTGCTTAGCGACGTGCGCTTTCAGATGTGTCGAAATGCGACATTTATAAGATGTTTTAAATTCGCAAATATCACAGTTATATATATCCATTAGTTGTGATACTGGAGTTTGTTCAACTTGTGTCCGAACTATATCCGAGTTCTTTTGCGTCCTATGACTATATGATATGTGGTCGGCGAGAATATCTTTTGATAAAAATTTTTTTCTACAATCATCACATTCAAAAATGTATTTTGTTGATGCCTCAGATGTGTTTTCCGTAAATATATTTACACTTTGTTTAAAAAAATTCTTTTTCATAATTTTTGCAGGATGCTTCCCTTTTTTAATAACTGGTTGAGTATCTCTTTTCAGTTTAGGCTTTGATTTAATAGTAGGGCTTTCTAAATCGAGGTTTCTTTTACGAACATCATTTATGTTACAATCAGTAGAATTTGATGTAATCTTTTTCTCACGCGGTTTTGAAAAATTATTTGTTTGTATGCAGGGTTGTTCTGAAATACAAATGAATCAAACATTTTATTTATTGTAAGACATTGTATCTTTATTGTAATATACCTTAGACGGTTTACAGCGGGCTCAATTTATACCTTACCAGGGAGATATAGAGAAATTATAATATTTTACATAATTACACTCATTTAACGTTGCAAGATATAAAGTATTTTAGCCAATTACACTGGATAATGTCTTTCATATTCATTTTAAGTGGGAAAGAATGGCAAAGCATCTAAATTCGAATAATAATGATAACGTTTTTCTGACCGTGTTATAATTACATTAATCTAATAATCGTTGGTTTGAATCCCACACAGTAAGCGTTACACATATTTTGACCAGTATTTTTTGTAGATATTAAGAATATAGTCTAGGTTAGTATTAGAATAATCTATCCCAATCTAATAATCTATTCTAATAATGGCTTCCCGTGGGTGTCGTAAGAGGCGACAGAGGGAGATAGGCAGGAGATGGGCAGCAGCATCTTTCTGATAACAACTGTGTTATAATAAAAAACTGCGGTTGCAAACCCGCTCGCCAAGCGTGGCAACTATGGCAAATATCCCCCCATGAATAACGACGCAAAAAAAAACGGCCCCCAGTCCCCGGCGGCTCCGCTATTCCTGGCTACGGTGGCGACCATGGTAACGGCGAAGCAGGGGGTGCTAAGAATCTCCGGTGGAGGTTCGGTTGCCACCTACGACGACTCGACCTGGCAACATATAACGCACGCACTCTGAGGACTGACGAGAAGATACTGGAGATGGAAGAAGAGGTAGACAAGTTGCGCTGGCATATTATTGGATTATCCGAGGCGAAGAGAGGGGGAAGATACGGCAATCCTCGAGTCCGGCAACTTGTTCTACCACTGTGCCAAGGAGGTGTCGGATTTATCGTCCACAAGTCTCTCGTCAACAACGTTGTAAAGATTGGGAGTGTGTCGACGACGGTCGCGTACCTGATACTCAGAATCACCAAACGGTATTCGCTGAAGGTCATACAGGTTTACGCACCAACCTCGGCACATCCCGATGAGGAGGTGGAGGAAATGTATGAGGATATTTCCAGAGCCATACATTCCTCCAAAACCCACTACACAGTGTTGATGGGAGACTTCAACGCAAAACTAGGCACAAGAGAAAGCGGTGAGCTGAAGGTGGGGAAATTTGGAGTAGGGCAACGGAACCGAAGAGGCCAGCAGCTGGCCGACTTTATGGAGAAAGATGAAACTCTTTATGATGAACTCTTTCTTCCAGAAGCGGCCCCACAGGAAGTGGACCTGGTCGAGCCCCGACGGTTCGACAAAAAATGAGATTGACTTCATTATGACGACCAAACGCCAACTGTTCAGTGATGTCTCAGTGATCGCAAGGGTGAAAACTGGCAGCGATCACCCGAATGGTTAGAGGCACACTGAACCTAAGCGTTAAGTTGGAGAGGTCTCGTCTAATGAAGTCAACGCTCCGTCCCCCTCGTGCTCTAAAAATCCAAAATCCCGAAACTTTTCAGCTCGAGTTACACAACCGCTTTCAGTGCCTAGAAGATTGCAATGCAGTGGACGATATGAATGACAAGCTCGTGGAAACTGTCCATGCGGTCGGAGCAAGTTCTGCAAGACCCGCCGCAGAAGAACACAAAAACTCTCCGATCACACTCTTAATCTCATGGCTGTTAGACGGGAGATGAGGCTGCAATCGTCAACAGATTTGACAGCATACAGGCAACTGAACAGACAGATCTCCAAATGCATGCGACGAGACTTACGCAACTTTAATACTGCTCGTATTAAAGAAGCGATCGAGCAGAACCAGGGCTCCAAAGTATTTGCCAGAGATCTGTCTGCCAGAAAGAGCCAACTGTCAAGGCTGAAGACTGAGTGTGGCAACATCGTTTCCGGGACACCTGAGATTCTGAATGAGATTGAGAGGTTCTATGGGCAGCTGTACACATCATCGTTGGAGCCACACGCAAGTGTGAGTAACGATCCAAGAGCAAGTCTTATTCGACACTATTCCGATGATATCCCAGACGTCAGTCTGAGCGAGATTAGAATGGCTCTCCACCACCTTAAAAACGGCAAGGCCCCGGGCGAGGATGTAATTACAGCGGAGCTTCTGAAAGCAGGTGGAACACCGGTACTTGAAGTCCTTCAGAAGCTCTTCAATTCCGTCCTGGCACTACTCCGGAGGCGTGGAGCAGAAGCGCGGTGGTCTTGTTCTTTAAGAAAGGCGACAACGCTCTCTTGAAGAACTACAGACCGATTTCTTTCCGAACTTTCTAACAATGCTTCTGAAAATAATCCTCCTGCTTAAAATTTACAGCCAACTGCTGCAGTCCAGAAGAAAATGTAATATTTTTCTCAACCATACATAACATAAACACTCACGCCTGTCACCCAGAGGGGTAGGCAGAGACTACAGACTTCCATTTGCCACGATCCTGACACACCTCTCTCGCCTCCTTCACATCCATATACCTACGCATACATGCTCGTCGGTTAAGGGTGCTCCTAATTTGGCCCGTTTTCAATAAATCGCCAATTTGGTCGATAAATTTTCGCCTAGGACGTCCCTTTCCGACTCTGCCATTCACATCTGCAACATAAATTTTCTTTGTCATTCTTTCCTAATTAATTCTTTCCACATAACCAAACCACCGAAGCATTCCTTTCTTAATCCTGGTCACACATCATCTTGCAAACCACACTCTTCTCTTATCACACAATTTCTCACCCTGTCATTCAGATTCAGCCCTAACATGGAGTATGTTAGGGCTGAATCTGACATTCACTTCTGCAACATAAATTTTCTGTGTCACTCTTTCCTCATTCATTCTTTCCACATGACCAAACCACCGAAGCATTCCTTTCTTAATCCTGGTCACAACATCATCTTGCAAACCAC